TGGACACTTAGGGCAGTAGATCAGAAACATCTGGAAAGTTTTGAAATGTGGTGTTGGAGAAGGATGGAGAAGATCAGTTGGACCGATTATGTGAGAAATGAAGAAGTGTTAATTAGAGTCAGTGAGCAGAGGAATATCCTACATGAAATAAGAAAACTGAAGGCTAATTGGATTGGTCATGTTTTACGCAGAAACTGCCTTCTAAAAGAAGTTACTGAAGGAAAGATAGAGGGGCGGCTACAAGAAGACGAAGAAGAAGACGTAAGAAGATGCTGGATGACCTTGGGGACAGAAGAGGATACTGTCATTTGAAGGAGAAAGCTCTAGATCGCATTAAGTGGAGGAATTATTTTGGAAGAGACTGTGGACCTGTCGTCTGACAGATTACTGATGATGATGATGATGATGATGGTGTTCATATTACTAAAAATTTTTCATAGCAATTTTGAGTGAACATAAAATTTTAAGATAAAACTTACATTCAGAAATCAGGAACAAAATGTGCAAATTCATGCTTCATAAACAACATATGCATAAAATAAATTGATTAGTCATTAAAATATTAATGTATTAACAGTAATAGCTCTTAGAAGAAGAAAGGGTCATTGATTACTCACTAATTCTGATGCTGCAATTAAAACCTGATCCAGCACCCAGGATAGAAAATATTATTTCCATTGGTTCTCTTATCAATTTTCAGTAAATAAAAGACTGACTTTGATAATTTCCTCCGATCAAAACACACTACAGACCCCTCTTTAAGAGTTTCATACAAACTTTTTTGGTATCCTTAGAGGGTCAGGCTTATAGCTGGTGCCAGAACAGTCCTCGGTCATCTCAAAGTTTTCTTTGTCAATAGCTACTGCAGCTTTTTTGTTGCTGATATCCAGCTGTAAACTGAACTGGACTTCTTTCAATCTGTTTATTTGTTCCCATGCAGTCTGGCATTTGTTTGTCAAGAATGCCTTCAAGTGCTCAATCACACCAAGCTCCTGGGAGAGTAAAAAAGGGGACATTAACATCAGTCATAATAACAAGAACAACTGTAATGCTTCTTGCTCCCTAGTAATCACTGATAGATACTATTGTTTGAATCAGTTACAAAAAATTATCTCCACAGTGACTTCAAATGGTCACAATTATATAGAAAGAATACAAAACAACATAATGAATCACAAATTGTGAAGTTCTGCGGAAGGTATCCATATGTTCCACAGATAGATTTCATTATGTAAACCAACCTAATAGTAATGTTCTTCAATGCTATAAATATTCATTTAAGCTGGAATGGTGTTTCAGAAGACTGAAAAGCAAGAAATATTAATGGTTTGAAATTATGGGTGAATGGTTTCAGCAAAAAACATACTTTGAACAATATCCAGTTCTCAAAGAATGGATTTACAGCCCTTTTTCATATAAAATAGCTAGTTGCCCTTTAAGCATTACCATCCTTAAGCAATTAAATCTCATGAAACCCCACTACAAACAGTACAGTATCCTTGTAATCAGAAACTGCCAAGCACATGCTCTATCTTCTCAGCACATAAGACATATGCTTGAAACATCAGCTTGGTTTCACATGAGAATCAGTTCACTTCTGGGACTCCTTTATAAGATTTGCAAAACAAAATGCTTTTTGTTGAAAAACCAATATGCTGAGCCTCCATAACTATATTATTCATCAAATTTGTGGCTACCTTTTTTTTCTAGAGGACATCATCATCATCATCAGTAATCTGTCAGACGACAGGTCCACAGTCTCTTCCAAAACAATTCCTCCATTTAATGCGATCTAGAGCTTTCTCCTTCAAATGACGGTATCCTCTTCTGTCCCCAAGGTCATCCAGCATCTTCTTACGTCTTCTTCCTCGTCTTCTTGTCACTTCTAGCCACCCCTCTATCTTTCCTTCAATAGCTTCTTTTAGAAGGCAGTTTCTGCGTAAAATATGACCAATCCAATCAGCTTTCCGTTTTCTTATTTCATGTAGGATATTCCTCTGCTCACTGACTCTAATTAACACTTCTTCATTTCTCACATAATCGGTCAAACTGATCTTCTCCATCCTTCTCCAACACCACATTTTGAAACTTTCCAGATGTTCCTGATCTACTGCCCTAAGTGTCCAAGTTTCAGCCCCATACAGAGCTATGCTCCAAATGTAGCATTTCA